GTTGCCTTTTCTTGCAATCGCCATTCTGGTACTTTCTACCATTAACAAATGCCACGATCAAACGTAGAGAAAGGCAACTGCTACCGGGCTGCTCGTCTTCCGCTGTTGTGACAAGTAGAAGCGGTAATGATGTCACGCGTCGAGACGTTCTCCATACGTTGCTAACTGGGTAAAGACTTCTATAAAACGTAGAACAAGAGCGACGCCAAGTGAAATAAACTTACGATGTGTTCACACTGCAGCCTAAAGTGACCCAATTCCGATTTTTTTTTTTTTCTTGACGTAATGTGACCTATATCTGATCTTTTCATGACAGTCTGAACAGCACAGGTTGGATTCTTTTCGAATGTGACCCATAACCAATACGTATCCGATTCAAATGCGACCTAACATCCAGGCCGCATTCATCCGAACTGAACGTCACTAATACTCAACAAATTCTGCATCCTGATACGCGCAAGTGGGCAGAAAAACAACTATGACGGACTATAATGAGGATTAAGTTGTTAATATGCTGCTCCGGTTGGACAGCAACTTCAAATATGTAAGCTAAGCTCCACTGTTAGCATCCATGTTTACTTCCGCAAAGACTGAGCACTACTACTTTTTATGGCGGTTAGCAGAACACTGAGGACACTGACGCTATTGCGCCCTCTATTGCACATGCGGGACACTTTCAGGTCGTTTGCCCATTCAGACTGCAGAACACATACAGGTCGCATATGTGTGGCAGTGTGAACTACCCGGCAAAAAAAATCCGATTTGACAAAAAATCGGAATTGGGTCACTTCAGGCTGCAGTGTGAATGCACCCTAAATTTTGTCACATCCTCACCATGTCTTTTTCAAAGCCAAAGCCTGCAGTTCATGTATTGGAAAAATAATTAAATGTTGATGACATTTGAGGATATTTTTTGTGGAATCCTTTATGCGGCCCAGCCTCACCCAGACTCTGTCTCCAGTGGCCCCCGGGTAAATTGAGTTTGAGACTCCTGGTTTAAATATACAGAGTCACTGATCAGCTTTCTGGAACCTGATTGGTCAATCAGTGTTGGCCCTTTTCTCATCTGTCTCTCATTTTCCAACCACCTCTTCCACACAATCTCCGCCTTTTGCGTTTCTTTTCAAGAAGTTGTGCATGTGAAGTATCTTCTGCTGGGTCACATGGACCAGGATGCTCTAATGATGTTTGGATGACTCTCATTAGACAGACAGATTGCTCTGTCAGTGTCTTCTGACCCAGATATGAAGGAAGATATGCAAAAAAACACAAAACAAAATAACAAAAAAAAAACCCTGAGGGCTTATTCGATTCCTGAAACGTGTGGTTGTAGCGTCACAAAATGTGAAAAGGTTTGAGTGGAGTGTCCATTAGGAAGATCTGAAATTACTTGTGCACATTCGGCTGCTCTACTTTCTCCAGCTTTTGTTTCTTTCTCTGTGCATCATGTCAGACAGACAGAGGTCGTGCCACAGCTGCAGTCTTATCTGCAGATAAGACAAAACATCAAAAGAAAAGCAAATGTGGGTAACACTTTATTTGAAGGGGGTTGAATAAGACTGACATGACACTGTCATAAACACATGGCATGAACATGAATAAGCCTTCATGAATATTTATGACTGTTGTCATAAAGCGTCATTCGGTAAATTATGACACTTTTAATACAAAGTTGACATTATTTAAAATGTCTTTATAACAACTTGACATTAACCAAGAAATCATTGCTGATATAAATTTGTTATAAAATTATTACTGATTGCACTTTAAAAATGAGGTAACTTTATGTTATTAAAGTTAAAGTTTAAACAGTAATGATTTCCTGGCTAATGTCAAGTTGTCATAACAAAGACATTTTGAATAATGTCAACTTAGTATTAAAAGTGTCATAATTTACCGAATGACGCTTTATGACAACAGTCATAAATATTCATGAAGACTTATTCATGTTCATAACAGATGTTATGTCATGGTTATGACAGTGTCATGACAGTCTTATTCAACCCCCTTCAAATAAAGTGTTACCGTCAATGTGTTGATATGTTAGTGGACCAACATTCAAGACCAGCTAATACTAAAGGAACTGATTCACAATTTTTTTCCAGAGGAGAGTTTTGGAGAAGAAAAACTAGCTATCTACAAGTTGAAAAGAAACATTCTCAAATAAATGATTCACGACAACAAAAACGGCTTAAGGGTATGACGCAAAATCGACTTTTTTGAGCCATATATTAGGTTGCAATGTTATAATCAAAGACTTACCTGGAGTGTTGCTTTGAATCTTTCATGCATTCTTAAGGAATCCTTCAATCTCCCATGGTAACCATTCAGGGGTGCCTAAACACTTGCTCTTACAAAGCTCTGCCTTGGAGTTTCAATCCAGCAGCAATTATCAAACGCCTGGTGGAACTGCATGTCTACTGAGTTCAAAGAACGGTCGTAAACGGCATCAACAGACATGGAGAAGCATTGTTGTGATGACATGCTGAAGGGGGAGTGTCAGGAAGATTAGGAGTTTCTTAAAGAGACATAGGTCAATTTCAAGACCTCAGATACGCTATGATGCAAAGTCAATTTTCTTTTAAGTTGTATATATACAGCGTTTCATAACAACTGAAGGTAACATGGTTGCTTGATAGTGCGATTTTATTGCACTATGTTCCTGGGAGATACATAATACTGCAGCTTTAACACCAAGTCATGAACCACATTTCATTTACAGTCTGTCAGCTTTTGGCCTTGTGTTGTGAAAATAAAAACCTGTGGCAACATGAAAAGATTTTTAATGGAGAATAGCTTACCAGGTCACATTTTACTTTGTGGTGTGTTGTAGTGCCATCTAGTGGCATAAACTGACAAGAACACAACACATTATGTCCTCAGAAGTTAAACCTCCCCCTGCCCCCCCAGCAAATTAGAAAGTACATCTCTTTTTGTATTTTTATGTGTTCAACAAAAAACTAAGCATGCAGTATTTTACTGAAACTTAGCAAGTAGTTTGATTATTGTAGTGATCTATAAATAGTTATAACCTTGCTGACATTTTTGCCAGCTTTGGCTGGCAAAACCATCAGCTATTAAATAATTAGTGCTTTAAAAAATTAAATACCAATACTGTATAATATGCAGGTTGTGGTGTCCATTCAGTTTTTTCATGGAACAACTGCATTGAATTCAACTAAATGACACCAAAAGTACCGGAAACCTTATTTTGGATTTACTTTTTTTTTAACATCCAATAGAAGAAAAAATCCTCTCCCGCTAAGCCTAAAAATAGAAATATTTACTTTATATTTATAATACATATATATATATATATATATATATATATATATATGTAAATTGGATTGTAACAGTTGCAGACGCCCACTCTAGTTTTAATTGCACATGCTTTAACTGCATGTTAAAGCACACAGATAGACAAATTCCCACATTTTATACTTTCACCAGGATTTATTAAGGCACAAATAAATAGAGTAAAGTGATACTTGATGATGCTGAAGGTCATGTTCCAAAAACTGCGACAGGTCATGTTTAACGTGGTGCCCCCTCCAAAATAAATTAGTAAATGATCATTTATACATCTAGTGACATCTTGTTGACCTCGGATGGTCAAAATGTACAACTGCATTTTGACAGTTGATGATATGGGTAGATGCTTATGGTCTTTACTTGTTTAGCGGGACTTCCGTATTGCAGATATTAAAATATTCATAATATTAAATAACAGAATGAAAATATAAACAAAAAAAAACATGAAAGAATTCATGAAAATCCATCTCACCAAGCCCCAAAACTAACTCAGGGACTCTATGTGGTAGCCCAAACTGTAGTAGAATTAAAATATTTTCAGTTTATTTTATAAGTAAAAGTGAATTGTGCATTTATGCACAATTCACTATGCCAGTTTTGCATATCCAAAAATGCAAAAGAAGAAACGACACAAAAGTCAAACATATCCAGGCTGGTTTTGTATCATTATGTACAGCTGTTTTATTTGTGATTTGCCCCCCTAGCCCCTAAAAAAAAACATTAATATTTTACTACGTACAATAATGATAATCAAAAGAATCCGCTTATAAATGAAGGGAGCAAAAGGAGCAACACCAAAATAAATAAAAGTAAAAAAAAAAAAAAAAAAAACAGACAGGTGGTGATTTGAGCAAAAATAGAGACACTGGTTAAGGTACTTCTTGTGTAACACTTTTGTTTCTATATGGCTATTGATGAGGTCATCAACAGCGTCGCCATGGCAGCAGTGGGTTCTGATTTCAGCTAGAAGCACTACAGTCTGCATGACTTTTACTGCATGGTGGTGTGTGCAAGTGCGGCGGATAAAGATACTTATCTTGGGACTCTTCATTAAATAAACTCTGACTTAAAACATTTGCTTCTCGCACACAAAGTCATTAAAAATGGTCTGTTTACAGGACATTCGTACAAACAAGCTTAAATTAAGTCAAATCACATAAAAACTCTGAATTTTATTACACTTTGCTACATCAGAACAAATCATATTTTCTTTTTAGGTTATCTGACTGATGCGTAGTCGGACGTTTCCTTAGTAGGGGAATAAATAAAGGGGAATTCCAGCCAACATAAACCAAGACTGAGCACATCCCTGTGATGGGAACGTGCCTCCATGAGAGCTACTTTTGGCTTGTTACAAACTAACAAACGTGCGGATATGAAGAGAGAGAGAGAAAAATACGATATAGAACGTTTTGAATTCTGGTTGAAAACCCCTGATATAGTCCCAAAATAAGGCTGTGGGTTTTAGGCACACAAAGGCAAAACTGAGCTGAGCACAATGTGCAATTCTGTTTCCTTTGAAAAAGACATGAAGCTTTTGAAATGTACATGATTTACAATTAAATTTACGTTAAATCACCTGTCCAAACCAAGTCTTATTATAAAGATTTGCTAAAAACAATAATAATAATAAAACCCAGCAAGAAAAAAAGAGATACATATGCTGATTAATCACTTTTCAGACTTCATATGTTTTGCAGAACATTTTACTAGACAAAAAAACACAAGTGCATCATTGGCAAAAAACTGCTGGTGAGGGAACGAGAAGTGCACACGTGTGTGTTTGTCTGAATGAGTGTGTGTTCACTGTCTGCTTCAGTCAGTATTGAAGTGCAGGTGTGAAAGTGTGTGTGTGAGCAAGCAAGCGCATATTTAAAGAGGTAGCAGAGAAACAGTCAGAGCAGCAGGTAACAATCAGCTAACAGGAAGGAAACAGACTTTGTATGCAGCTGCTCTTCTCAAGGTCAAACAAGTTTTAGTTCAAACACTTTGAATCAAAAAGGTTGAAAAGAGAAAGGTCCACTTGAAGCTACAGTGCGATGAAAAAAGCACATTCCCCCTTAAAGATGTCTTCTTTTTGGCACACTTAAATGTTGGCACATGTCAAAATCGAGGTCATAAGTTTTGGAATGCGATCCTCCAGATGATCAAATCAAAGCAGTTATTTTGTTAATGTTAAAATATGTTCAATATTATTTAATCTTAAGAAGTAGTCATCAAATGCATACTGCTAATTATTAATATTTTAAGGACATTCTTAATTTTGAAAATGACATCACCGTTTTATATCAGACAAAGATAACCTGAGAAAATATGAAATGTAATGTTCAAACTATGACCTATTAGGGTAAAAACTTATCCAAACCACTCAAGTCCTGAATGAAGAACAATTTAACAAATATTTATCCTATGAATGAATAACCTGATTAACCACAAAATCTAGGCTCATGGTTTGTACATTTTCCCAAAATTCAAGCCCTCTTGAAGCATTTTCAAGGCAAACTTCCAAACTTTGTCAGCACCAAACACTGGAGATAAAAATAATACAAATGAACTAAACAAGACAGTTTCAATTAGTAGTAAGGTAAAATGCAACTAAATTTTATGTTTTGAAATGTCTCTTTCACACACCCTACACACCTGACTGGTCTAAGAACAAAACAATAATTCAACAAAAAAGTCCCCCAGTGTCAATAATGTTGCTACTCAGATCAAAACTGTGCGGAAGCACTTTTAAGGACTTTGTACAAAAATCAAGTACTTTCCAAATGTTGAAAACACCTAATTGAAGTTCAAGCATTTTCAAGGATTTGAAGCACCCATACAAACCCTGTAGGTTTGGATTCATTATCAGCATCCAACTCTGATTAGCTGTAGGATCAAGAACTCATTCAACTTGTACCTGACTGACAACATGAAGTAGGCTGAATGATGTCAAATAGCAACAAACCAAGCCGCAAGATCTAGACATCCATCAGTCTGGGAATGTCTACAAACCCATTTCTAAAGTTTTGGTATTTCAGGAACCACATTGAGAATCACTGCAGACAAACAGTGAAAACATAGAAGAGTGGTGAGGCTTCCCAGGAAGCAACAGAATTACTCATCAACAACTCACCCACAAGGTCACAAAACTTCCCAGAGCAACACCTGCAGGGGCTCACCGACCTCGGTCAAGGTCATGATTCAACAGCAAGACAGAAACTAGGTAAAGATGGCCGCCGTGGGGACATTTCAACACCAAAACCACGGCTAATCAAAAGGAACATATTAGTCCCACATTAGCCAAGAATAAGAGACTTTTAGGAAAATATCCTTTGGTCTGAAAAAAGTAAATGCTTAGGAAAATGTGGGCACAAATCTATAAAACTTACAGAATTTGAGAATAATACATGGTGGTGAGAGCATGATGGTGTGGGGTTGCTTGGCTTCCTCAGGAACAAGATGGATTCAGCTGAAAGAGGATGTCCAACTATCAAATTCATGTCCTTTAAGTTTAAGGACATCTTGAAATTATACAGCAGGACAACACCAGAAAGTGCACCCCAAAATAAAGAACCTGGGTGGCCTAGTCAAAGTCTGAACCTAAATTTGACTGAAATCCTGTGGTGTGGTCTTACACATGTTGTTCATGCAGGAAAACCCTCTATACCCGTATATACAGGTTATTTTTGTCTGATTTTAAAACATGTTTGATGACTTTAAACATTTAGGTGAGACAAAACAAGCAAAAACCAAGGAAATCTGTAAGGGTTGGATCCTTTTTCACAGCACAGTTTGAAGTGCTAAATTTTGACTTAAGCGAAGCTGGCAAATATATCTTATTCACAAAAAGGGAAAAAAAAACAAAAAACAAAAAAAAACTTTTCAAGCAACAAAGTGGCCTGGTTGTCTTCAAACGGACTCACAGCACCAACTAAACCAGCCAATCAGAATCAGTTAGAGATGAGCGACAGAAGGCAGAGTGCTGAGCGTGATAGGCTGCAGTATAAATGTGAAAGTGTGTGTGTCTGGCTGCAAAAACAAAGCAAAAAAACAAACAAAAAAAAACGCTACTTTTGGTGATGAACGACTAAATCAGGATCCCAATGTTATAAAAACTCAACCAGGGCGGCTGAGCGGCATCAGCGAGAGAAAAGTCTGCAGCTCTCCTTTTCCGACACTAACAAACTTCAAGTTCTTTCAGCTCAACATTTCAGCTGAGCTAAAAGCTTTGGCACAAGCTGCACAAAGGTGGTTTTCATGCAGCAGCAATCCAGCTGTTAGTTTAGTAGCTTTTGAAGAAAACATATATAACTTGTAGTTATATATGTAACCTAGTTCATCTACTGAGCTCATCGTATTTCGTGGCATCCCTGGCAGATGTCCAAAGCCTGTAGTCTGCTTTTATTGCAGCTGCAGAATCCGTCTGAACTTTTTTATTGGTCAACTTTTTAATCGGAGAAATTTATTTTTTTGAACAAAATCACAGGTGGAAAAGTTTATTAATACTTAGCTTTTTTTGAGAAGATGTGAACTCGTGCCTTTCTGTTTCCCTGGGGCAAAATATGCATAAACATGTTTTCCTATTATTATTATTCCTTATTTTTTTCTAATGTGGGATTTTAAAATTACTTGATTTTTTAAACTTTCTTCCTTCTTCAGTGTGAGATAATGCTTCTGCGTTAAACAAAATCCTCCCACAGTCTTAACAGATGGGGTCAATTGGACCCCACAAGTTTTTTACTGTATGCGGAACCCCCGAGCGACAAGTTTTTTGGTTGTTGTTGTGGTTTCTGGAACTGATGGTCTGATGGGATAACCCCTCCTGCTTCCTCACTGTCTGACCGTAACATGTGCCGCTCTCCTTCTGAGCATCGCAATAAGAATGCGGGAGGGTTAAAAGAAACTTATTTTAGCTCATTTTACCCTCGTTTACCAGGGGTGCTAATAAGTGCGGCTGCATATGTTCAAAAATAACACTTCATAAACAGCTCAACAGAAATTAAAGCATTTTACACATGGCACATGCATTTTTCTCAGGCATTTCTAACAGTGTTCTGTAAGAGAATGCTACAGGGTTCTGCTCTGCATTTTTTTCCAGGCCAAGCCACTGACGCTACTATGGCAACCGATGGTTGTTTAAAAGCAGGTGCAGCAAGATACATGGGCCGTTTCTGTTCTACAGGTCCAATTACCTACAAGAGTTTTGCTTTTCAGTCGAAATAGATCCCATCTCGTCACACATGAGGATGCGACAATTACCTGCGCTTTGAGATGCTATGTGAATGAAGTCTTAATTACCATGCAGGGAGTTTCATCATGCATTTACACACTTCAGTCAGTGAGAAAGTGGTGCAAGAGCGGCCCCCTTTTAATGATATTAATGCTGGAATAACGAACATGCAAGGACCTGCAAATGTTGAATCGGCACTGTGAGCTAATTTATCATGCAAAAAATTAAAAATAAAATTAATAGTATTTACTGTCTAAGACTTCTTATGGAATAATGCAACACTTTGATATGTTAAAAATTTTTGAACTTTTAAATGCACAATAAATAAATGTGCAAGTGTCAGCTGTTGCATATCTATACCAATATATAATGATCTGAGCCTAAAACTATTGCAATAAAAATTATGAGTTATAGTATGAATGAAAGCAGTGAAATTGTGTGGCTGTTCGTCACAAATATCTACATTGCAATTCATCTATCAGCCAGAAGGGGGAGATAAAGTTCTGCACTGCAGGTTTAAGATTTGTAGCGATTTGAGGTAAAAAAAAAAAAAAAAAACTCTACTGTAACTATACAAACATAAAAACCTCTAGATTATTGTTAAAATAAAACCTTGTGTTCTATATTACACAATCAGGCTGCAACTCCCCCAAAAATATATATTTATATGTGCAGACAGGAGAGGTAGTATTTTTGGTTAAACATAGTGCCGAAGCTCAGCAGAACACGGACAGAGACAAACGAAAAAGAGGAGGGAAAGCAGAGTTAACATTTAGAAACATTGGGATCCACTCAGATAGTGACTAGCAAATTCTACCGGATGTCCCTCGTTATGCAAGAACTGCTTTAGAGTTTGCGGTCGACTTGAGGTTGAAAACATGAAGGTTTCTGAGGAGAGAGTTGTGGTGTGTCTGAGTGTGTGGTAGAAGTTTATGTTTGGTTCCCTTTAAAGGCTATTGTGAAAAGTTTATACTGTAAATCACTGAGGTATCTGTTAAATGTTTCCAGCTTAGTGAGGTCTTTGTCAATAAGGCTACTGAGGTGGAGCTGCTGACCTGGTTCGAGGGGGACGAGGGCAACAGGAGGGGAGAGACTTCAATTATTTTGGGGGCGCTGACAAATCAGATCTACAAATCCGCTATAAAAGTTGCTAAAATGGTATGAAAACTACAAGAAGATGTTTGTCCAAGGACTGTAGACATCTAAATTTGATCCAGATATAACTGATGTGCCACACTGTACCCCTAAAACTGCAGATTCTTCCCCCCGTCACCCTGCCCTGCATTCTGTGATGTAGATGCTGAATGTAAAAAGTCTTTACACGACTATCATTACCAAACAAACCACAATTTGTTAAAAAAAAAAAAAAAAAAAATCAGAACCTTGAGTCACGGAGTACAAAGCACGACAACGTCCCAACTCAAGACAGCAGAGGCGACATCTGTCCTTCGGTCAGTCTCTTGAGCACTCTGCTTGAACGGCGAGTCCCTACGTCTTCGCGGTTTAAAAACACTTGATCTCATATGACCTTTGTACAAATTTTACACAGTCTTGTTGAGGTCCAAACTGATGGCGCTTCTTCGAATCCCAGGACCCCCATCAGGTCTTGGGTGTGTCACGGATTTCCAGAGCGGAGCTTGGTTGGCTGCTAACTTAAAGCTATGCAGAGAAGAGTTGTTGTAACTGGCTGTTGAAGACGACGACAAAGAAGAAGAGATGGTAACATGGCTGGTTGATGAACAAAGAGCCATGGCATAGCTAGCAATCAGATACGTCTCGTACCTAACCAGTTGAGGCAGTGTTATTGATGATCACTTGGCGGTTTGAGAAATTAGCTCCTGAAAAAAGATGATGTGTATGTGGACTGCAGTTCTTTCAGATGATGGTATGATTGAGCAAACATTTTTGCTTTTCCTTGTTGAGTTAAAATACTTGGGATAGGCTCCATAGGTCCACACATGCTGCTAATCCCGACTTCATTCAACAACGCTCCTGAGCAGAAAGCCAAGCGCAAGCATTGCAGCAGGATGCAAATCAACAATCATGACAAACAGAAGAAATCAAATAATTACCAAAATGAAAGTATTATGTATATATATCATCAAAAGCTTATTGATTGAACCAGAGAGGAAAGAAAGACATACATCCAGAATTCTTGGAATGGACAAAAAGTTGCCTAATAATGAGAACTTACTGAGTCGCTTTGGGTAATTAAAGGATTATGAGAATGTTCAATTCATTTGAAATTAAGATCATTTTTTATTTCCATCCCTTTTTTAAGGGATTACATCAAAAGCTCATATTTGGCATTAGATGGAAGCTGATCCTAGCCCTCCAAAATATTCAATACTACATGTGACATAAACAACTCATTAAGTCGGTCATATTAAGCGGCTCTGTCCACTCAAAGTTGAATACACAGTAAGAGTTTCTATAATTGCATATAGCCTCGCATCTCCAAAGCACCTTCCCGTCAACGACTTGCTCCTCTTAGTAATTTACCTACATCAGCTTCTATGTACAGACTAAGAAAGTGGTATTTACAAAGTTTTTTTTTTCCACAAGGGGGTGATCCAGGCTTGCATGAGGTTTGAGGATGCGCCATGTCAACAGATACAATGATATGTAGTGATAAAAACTACCTTTGCTTATGCAGCTGGTATTGAAATGACATAAATGTGACAACAAAAAGGTAGGAGGCTGAACTTTTTCCATCCATGTAAAAGTTCTTCTCATGTTTGTGTCTCTGCCCTTTGCGATTACAGTCTGCTATTCCTCTAGAGCCGTGGTTCTCAAACGCTCGTGCAAGTACCAGTGCTAGCACCTCGGCTAGCTTTAGCAAAACTAAGAATTTTTAGTAGTATTTATGAAACAAAATGTCTAATGTTTGATTATGCACATGTAACAAATGATCCCAAAAATCAATTGGAGGGTACTTTGTCGCCATGTAGAAGGGTGGACATTCGTCATACCGTTTATTGTTAATTGTGATAAACCTCTTATAAGATTTTGATTTAATGTTGTCTTGATGAATTCAAATTAATAATGTCTAATAATCTCTATAGCTGTTCCTATTATCAAGATGAGTATTTTCACCATTTTTCTCCACTGTTTGTTCAATGAGAATATCAATAAATATCAGTAAATCTGGAAATATGATTAAATGCAGTTATCAAGCACAATATTTGTGGGGCTGATTGCTGCATCATTCACTCACATCCATACAGTTACCTTAAAATGAAGTGTTAAATTGTTCTCATCATTTTTATCACTCCACAAAATATCGTGATGAAACCTTAAGCCCATATCGCCCACCCCTACTATCTAGTGGATGGTGTTATGCCAAAAGATGAGTTAATTTAGCAGATTTCCATTCTAAATACATAGATTTATGAAAATTTGTATACATTTTACAATCAATTTGAAAGCAAAAAGTTTATCCATAACTTTAACTGTAAATAAATTCAGGCTTAGCATGTTTAGTCATTCCAATAATGACCAATTACTGTTAGCAAAATAAGGCGATAATGAATTTCTCTGCTTCTTGTTTAAGAACTGTGAACAGGTCAACTAAAGAAAGAAGTCCAGTATTCTGTCCAAATTAAAGATTCAGTAGAACAAAAAAAATCTCTAAAAGTTTAAATAAAATTATTTTTTGCTGCAGTTATCATTACATGCAAAGAAGTCATGTTGGAATTTGACTGGTGAGAAAACGCAGATTTTCCACATTTTGAACTCTAACATCATGTGAACATTTTGTTCATTGTTCAGTCTTATTGCAAAATATTTACAGTTACAAAATGTTTAAGAACCACTGCTCTAGAATGTTTGCTTTATCCTTAAAAACATAAAATTAAGGCTTCTACTAATTTAATAAGAATGGTTGTGTAGCTAAAAATGTATTACACATATTCTCTTAAAGACAATCTGACCATGTGAAATAATTTCATAATTTTTTGTTTCTCAAATGGAGAATTTTGTTTGTTTTTTCTTCCAGAACAGACATTAATCTGTTAGCTTCCTTTTGCTGTTATTCAGTATGATTTCAGATCACAGTGATGCCTTGAGTTTCAAAAACTCTCGAAATCTCCCTCTCATGATTGTAAGCTTACGCCAAACACACACACACACGCCGTAAAAACCCGAATACACATTATCGTCAGACAAACTTTCCCTGAGGCAACAGCTGGCAGCTAGTTTCTGTCCAACTATCTAAGCTCTGTTTTAGCAGCAATCCCACCAGCCCAACGACTAGATTTTTTTTTTCCTTTTTTTTCTGAAAAAATAGCCATCCACAAAACAGGAACTTATCTTTGTGTATGTCAGCCTACAAACTTCACAGGTCCAAAAAAAGAATCAGAGAGCACAACAAAGAGCGTTTGTTGCGGTTCAGTCAGAGCCTGCACACACACCCCCTTGTGGTCCATCGATACTCTTGCACGCTGTACACTTTTAGCAAAAATAGAGCGACTCCTCATAGCACGTCTCAGTGCATCTTTACATGTTGCATATACATGTTGCATATACACATATCTGAGGAGAGGCCTTAACATACTCTTTATTATTACTTTTATAATTAAACACTCTCAGAAGTATTTCTGTCTATATACAGTACAAGTCGAGCATTAGATAATGTTTGACTTGTACAGCTTATGTTTATCATATTTAACTATGCAGAATTATACATACATTCTTCTTTTGTTACTTTTTATTTTACAAATGTAAAACCCCCTTCCTACCAGACTACCCAGACTCCTCTTGTTTTTTTTTCTTCCCAAAGTGCACCATCATTCTCAAACTAAAAGATTTCTGCAGAAAGATTTGTCTTCATAATGTTTTGAATATTTAAGATTTCTTCTTTCACATAAGGCAGAATTTACAGATCGCTCAGCTCCCGTCATGACCCAAAAATGTTTCTACTTCCTGTCAGCTCGCTCAATATTTTTTGGATGATTTTGCTGTTAGAATTTATAAGCCAACAAAAGTTCATAGCTATTTACATAAGAGTCCATCGTTGAGGAATGAGTAAAATAGGCAAATCTGAGTGCATTTGCTGCCATGTGAACGTGGGGGAAAGTTATGATGATGATGATAATGAGAATGATAATGAGAGGGAAATTACATCTATCAAGCTGTCTTCACTTTCAGAAAGTGCTACAAAGAGTAGATTCCAGTGATGGGGGGCGATGGAGAACATTTGGATTCCACAGTTGTGGAAAAGATGAAAATGAGTGAGATATTTGTGGGGGAATAAAACAAAACAAAAAGAAAACAAGGTTTGAGATTCTGGTGATCCAGCAGCAGATTTCTATTCTATGAATCCAGAGATCCAGTTATGGCCGACGTTTGGTTTTTGCAGGCCAGGAGTAACAAAAGAGGTGTAGACAGAGGGGAAGATGTGATTATCCGCCTCCCTCCCAAACGTCCGGGGAGTCGGGTGTTGGGGTTGTGAAAGCCTTCGTTTTGAGTTGAGAAGGCGGCGGAATTTGTTAATCATCCTGTGCTTAATGAGTCTGTGTAGAAGGGGAAAAAAAAAAGGATTCCTTGTTCTCCTCCTCCTCAGCTACGACACCTCGCTCCCGAACACCTCCAGCACCAGCGGGGTGAGCTGCATGCTGTGCTCGGGCTGGAAGGACAGCGAGCGGTACTGCTTGGAGTGCTCCTCGTTCAGGCTGCGCAGGTCGGCCAGTTTCTGGATCATCTTGGCGTAGAGGAGGCGACCGCCCGGGTGGTTGACCCGGATGTAGGCCTGCAAGGCCTCCGACAGACGGTCTTGCAGCTGCTCTATGCGAGCGTGGTCCTGAACGCCAGGTCGATCTGTAATGGAGAAACAGAGGGGGTCTCATTTTGTCACCTTGCATTCACAAAGATCAATTTAGGTTCTACAGATTTTATGTTGTAGACCAACACCACGTAGCGGATGAAGGAATATTAGGGTCAGACTGAGTTTTTTTTTTTTTTTTAATTATGACAATAAAGTCAATATTAAAATATTAGTAGGAGAAAGTTGTAAAAAGCAATTGCAATAAAAGCAAAGCTTTGATTGAGTTATGAAAATCTGACGGACTGCACAGTTTGTGTAGTCCGTGATGCTTTCTTGTTTGCATAATCATTTCAAAGTCCCGATACTGATAATAATTTGATACTGATGTGTTAAAATTTTAACATATCAGATACCAAAGCATAACTTCACAAGATGTTCAACTTTCCTCATTTAAATGTATTATTTTTTGTGTTGGAGTTATAATAAAATTACAACTTCATTCTTCTAACATTACAATGATATTCAGGTAAAATTATGGGTTTATTCTTGTGTTATTTAAACTTTATTGTAATATGTCCTTTTCTTATATTGTTATGACTAAATTGTCATAAAATGATGATGTGGTTGTACAACTTCTCGTGGTGTTTTAACTATTCTGTTAATATTGTGACTTTATTTTCTTATTACAACTTTGTTCTTGCAATATTATAACTTTATTATGGTAATACTGTAACTGAATTATTGTGTTATTATGACTTTATCCTTGCATAATTTCAACTTGATATCGTATGAGTTTTTACTAATAATACTGACTTTTCATACAACTTTTTTTCTCGTTTTATTCCAACATTACTCTCATATTATTATTATTACTATTATTATCATTATTAAGATTATAAGATTTGACAGTGGGGGGTTGACCTTCCAGAAGGATAATAACCCTGACCAGCTAACATAGAGCTAATATAGACTGGTCACTCCAGACCTAAATTCAATAAGAAACTTGTCTGGACATGAAAGTTGATATTCACTGATGCTAAAATGAAGTAAAATGTGCCTAAATGAGCACATCATGTCAAAAAACAAAAAGTCGTTCTACAAACTGGAAAGAATGAGAGAGTAGCAGGGATTCACTGCAGCTCCTCCTTCAGCTGTTCTATTATTGGTCTGTAGAGTAGACTAGCCCTCCAGGCTCAACCAAAGCACAACAGTCAGGTTTTATATCTGTTTTTGATGCTAAATCAGGGATAAAGATGACCAACATCAGCTACTGCCATATTATCACATGCTGAACAGATGCAGTTGTTTTCCAAGAAATTATTCTCAGCTTAATGGAAGCATCATGTACACTCCATTTTTTTGGCGAATGTAGGTCAAACAGAAAAGCTGACACCAAAACAAATCTTGAGGCGAGCTGTGACGACACTTCAGCTTTTGGTAAACCTTCTGACCAAAGGTTTACCAAAAGCTGAAGCTAACCCCCCAAATCATCCTGCTGAATAAAAAGGCCTCATCTTAAATGGCAGCAGCACCTGGAGACAGCAGGCAGATGGCCATGAGCAGCACATGCTCCTCCTCATGCAGGTTGAGCTTCTTCAAACCAACTTGGAACTTCACCAGTGGCTCCAGCAGCTCCAGGGTGTGGCCGGCTGCAGACAAAAAACAAACAAAAATAATCACAGTTATTGTTGCAGAATTAGTTGCTCTTTCTTACTTTAAAACAGAGAAACATTACAGGGCTTTCGAACAAGAATCTGGGTTCTTTTTTAAGACAGGGAGTCATTGTGGAGAGCACAGTGTCTTGCTCTGCATGTAATAAGGAACACAGTGTGAGCTTGTGGCTGTTTTACAAGTTCCATGAAAATACCTGAAGTCAAAAACCTTCAGTGTGAGTCCAGCAGGGGGTAAAGAAGCAGCGGGTGAGTGGGCTCTTACATAAGATGGGAGAAATTTAATCTCATCTGTCACATCAACTCCAACAATGAATATATTTCTATCCCAGACTTTCTCCCTGAGCCTCTGTTGTTTTAACAGATTTCTTGATGCAGCCGCCTTCATGAAAAGAAATGCTTCTAACAAAATTATCCTTAAGCTAATTGACTATTATCAAAAGAAAACACATGAATAACAGTAAAAATAAGTAACTCCCAGGAGCTGGGTGAACTTCATTCACTTCTCATGGACAGCGATGTGAAAAGCACCTTTTGTGACGTCATTGATGCAGTATTTAAAGTCGGGTCCCCCGCAGCTCCAGGACATGTCCTCCAGGCTGAACGACTGGTTTGAGCGCAGCATGATGATCTCGATGGCACTCGACTTCAACAGAGCAATCTGGTCCTCTGCGGTCAGCTCTCTGCAAAACAAGCAACAGGTGTAAATGCAGCAAAAAGGAAGAAAAAAACCTAAACAAGAAGTTTGTTTTGACAAGCTCAGCTACACAATTGTACAGTTCTAACTCGTAAAACTGATAGGATTGAGTTTGTTTTGGTCGTTTAACACAAAAATCAAGAAACGTATCCCATAACAGAATGATATCAAGAAAAAAATCTCCTCCAGACAAGCCTTTCCAGGAAGATGCTTTTATTCCTTTTGTCGTGGCAGCTTAATATCAGACAGATAATCTGTAAAACAAATCAAGGTCTTCCTTCCAGTGATCCTACTGCCATCTGCAGAAATACACCACATGGTCAGAAACAACCAATCAGCCAAGCACAGGGTCGCAGTGCTGTCAATTAACCTTGTGTACATGCTGCTCTTAGCCTCCCCTTTGCTCTCTGCTGGTTCACCACAGCATAGTCTGCCATGAATGCTACCTGGCATAGTGGCGGATAAACTGCTTTCTTGGAACAGTAAGTTGCTAATCAGCAAATTGAGCAGAACGTACACAAGTATTATTGGCAGCACTAATACCCTCCACTAAGACCAATGTTTTTTTTACATATAACTAACAACATGGTGACAGTTTTAACAAATATGTAAAAAAAAAAAACATAAAAAAATTTAAATACTGTAGTTTTAAGCTTTCTAAGCATTCTACCAAAACAGATATAGATAATGTAAATATCACTAGCTATTTCATAATGCTGTACATGCGCATATGTAAAGCAGATAGCAGGGGTCTGAAACCAGAGTTGGGGAAATGTAAGGAATATATTTTATATATAAAATTACAAATTGATCTAATTTCAGAAGCTAAACATTTGAAATACTATTTGAAATGACAAATCATTTAATATTACTAATATTGAATTTAGATATTTTAAAATAAATTAGGAAAAATTTAACATTATGTTAATAAATAAATAAATGACTAAATACTTAAACCTGCAGTTAAGTTGGGCCAAAAAGAAAGAAAAAAAGAAAAACAAATTGCGGTGACATTTAGAGGGTTTTAACATTAAGAGGGAAGAAATTTCACTCAACCTTTCCTGTGGAGAAAGTATCTAAATGTTCTCACAATGTTCTGATTCTAGGCACACTCATCACATTATTCCAGCCCACAATGAGATCCTTTAAAGAGATAACAGCCCTCAAAGTTCTACTTAACCATTTACAAATGTGTGAGTGTGTTTCTGTGTCTACGTGGAGCAGATGAAAGTACAGCATGTACGCTGGCTGAGTCACATGCTTACTGAACGTACCGCTCGTTCTTCATTTGTGAAAGAACAAAGGAGGATGGCTGGAAACAAATTCATTGCGGTTGAAGATTTGATAAACAGTGTATTTGTGATTGTTTTCTGAACAATTGCAGCTACTGTTTGAAGTCTTGGGACTTTATTTTATCCTCAAATTTAACACAGCTTTGAATATGTTCATAAATTATATGCAGGAAAAATTATAAAAATGATATGCAGGAAAAATTAATCTGTAGGGACAGTCACATACACTGTTGAAACCATAAGTTTACATGCACCAGGGTTTCCCCCAGTGTATTATAAGCCTGGTGGCCTGCAATGCTTCACTTTCAGAAAGAGAGGTGAGAATGATTTATCTTTGTGAACAAAGAATTATGTGGGGCGTTTACATCTCAAAACGCTGCCCAGCGCCTGGGTCTGTCTGCACTGATGAAGTTTATGTATGTGGTCCGGGATGGCCGGTGCGTTAGTGGTTAACGAACCAGCGCTAACCACTAATCAGGCAGGTTCAGCTTGCCTTGTAGTCACGCATCATGCTGGTTTAATATTATTTTATTATTATATTTAGTATTATTTTTCTGGTTACACGAAGCATCAAACCATACCATACCAAATGCTTTGTCCACTTAGTCAGCCAGAGTTAATGCATGCGAGATCTAAGAAACTCGTCCCATAAACTTGAACAACCAAAACAGTTTATGTGGCCCTTATTAAAAACTCAACAGACACTAAATGGAAGAGCTACTAAAGCCACATTAGTAGCATTAAATTAAGCCTCCCGTCTCTGCGCAGTGCAACGGATTTAACTCATCATGCAGGGTCGGCCCAAGGCTGTGTGAGGCCTTGAGCAGAATTTGACTTAGGGGCCCCTCTTGCTGCTAAAAACATCATCACCTCTAACAGCTTCTGTGTTAGATTTAGTGAAATCTGGGAGACGGGGAATGGTTTAATTGGCCAACCTAAAAAGAAATCAGCTTTAAATGCAGTTTACTAATTTGTATTTGTGAACAAACAGAGCTCAAACTCAAAGATTAAACTCAGCATCAGGTTGTAGCTGTGGTAACAAAACAATCTAACTATGAATATTGTTCTTTGAACTTTTACAAAGTAAACTTGCCAGCTCTTTAAAGTCTTTTATTTAAATGTTACACAATTAAAACCTTTTAATTTATGTATACTGAAACCATTAAATCAAATTTAGCAGTATTGATAATCTCAGTAAACAAATGTAAAATTTATGTATCTGTGATCTATGTTAAAATATTAGCATTTATGGGCCCCTAAAACTCAGAAGGGCCTTATGGAGCCGCCGACTTAATTTGGATTAAACAGAAGTGGAAATATAATAATAATAATAATAATAATAATAATAAT